TGAGCATGGGAGATCTCTCCACTTTCTATAGTCTTCCTCAATCTCTTTCTTCAGAAGTGTATAGTTTTCCTTGTAGAGGTCTTTCACATCTTTTGTTAGGCTTACGTCTAGGTATTTGATTTTTTTTGAGGCTACTGTAAATGGAATTATTTTCATACATTCTTTTCTGTTTGCTCATTGTTAGTGTATAGAAATGCTAATGACTTTTCTATGTTGATTTTATATCCTGCTACCTTGCTATAGCTATTGATGATGTCTAGAAGCTTCTGAGTAGAGTCTTTTGGGTCTTTAAGGTATAGGAACATGTCATCTGCAAATAGGGATATTTTGACAGTTTCTTTAACTATTTGTATTCCTTTTATTCCTTCTTCTTGCCTAATTGCTCTGGCTAGGAAGTAAATGCACTGACCCAAGGAATGTGGGCCATTCCTTGTAAGCACAGTAGGTACTAAAGTCACTATAGTGAGGATAGAGAAGAGTATTCTTCCAGAGCCCTACTCCCAGAATTCCCTCAGTCAACCCCATAGTGAAGGCTGGCATACACCAAGAATTGGACCAAATGACCTGATGCAGAGACTGTAATGCAGTGGATTAACCACTGTCCAAGGGCAAGTGAAGAATCTTCCTCCCCTTCCACTTATAACCCACTGGGATTCCTGTGTTCACCCGCTTTTTGAATATGGCTTTCTGTGTTTCCTGGAGCCTTGGAATGGGAGATGCCTTTATGCAGCAGGTGTGATGGGAAACAGTTGGGGTTCTAGTTTCTGCTGGACAGTGCATTCTATGAGCAAGCAGTGGCAGATGTTATCTTCCTAGCTTAGTCTGGGAGTCATAGGAATTACTCTCTGTTTGCATTCTGACCTCTCCCCAGGCAGCTTGGGAGAACCCAGAGGAAGGGCAATCTTAGGATTAATGTTTCCTAATAGTCCTCTCTACAACTGCACGTTTTCTTCTCAATTCTGAATCACTTTAGGTCCTTTGAATTTCTAATGGTTTCTGGTTCCCCACAGAGCAAGGTTCCACTTCCCTGTGTGTCAAAGTCCTCAGCAACTTAGTCTAATCTATTTTTTTCAGCCTGTCTTTTTATATGCAAGTTTCATAAATTTGACATGGCAAGCCCAGCACTGGGGGAAAAATTATACAGGCAGGAGAGGTTGACTTGAGGTGGGGAATCCACTCCTCTCTCGCATTTATAAAGTAAAATGTTTTCCCTCATCTTCAGGGTTCATCTAGTTATTTGTCTCATCTCTACCTCTCAACCCTCATTTTTGCTTTCTCAGCCTTCTCTCATGGCCTTTTCTTTTCCCAATATATGCTAATCACCTCCCTTCCACTGAGAATGTCTTTGCCCCCTCCCCTCACCCTTACTACTTCCCTGATCATACTCTTTATTCAGTGGCCACATTAAGTTTAATCTGTTCCTGAGCCTTCCTCTGTCTCCTCATTCAGCCCTTTTTGCTGCCCTAGAGACATCTTTAAGCACACAGTAGGCCCAAGTTTTCTCCCTCACTAACCTGTCTGAACGCAGTCACCTTCAAGACTGTATCCACAACTTGCTTCAACCTCCTCATATGCAGATCTCTGGCACCTTCACAGGCATCTTTACAAATATCAGGCATTTCAGGGAGTCCCTAGGCATGTCCTGCATGTGCTTGAGTTGTCCTGTGCCACAGCTCTGAACTACCCCAAGGGAGAAAGTCAGTGAGTGGTTCAGTCAGGTGGCTGGAGCTCACTCCACTTCACTTTTTTCCCACAAGCACCAAAGTCATACCATGGCCTACTTCTCTTTTGAACTCTGCTCCACTAGAGCAATTCTAATATAAAGTCCTGCTCCATTTCCAAACTACGTGAACAGCTCGTGCAGGTTGTGTTTATGGCAATGCTTCCTTGCTGGCCTTTCTCTGCAGAGAAGGATATGCTGGGTGAATTGTGAGTTGAGAATAAGCCCCTTCTCAACCTTTATTGCAGAATGCAGTCTTGTCTCTCTTTCCCTGTGACTGTGAGGAAAGAGGGGCTATGCAGGGACCTGCTCTGTTTTCCTAGAGCCCCACCTCAGCCTACACAGAGATCTAGGCAGTCAACTTGAGCCTTTTCTTGTGCCTCTGCAGCTTGTACTCTGCTCTGTAAAGCTCTCAGTTATCTTTGTCCTCCTTCTAAGATCCTGGAGGGACATTTTCCATGGGAATTTAGTTTGTGGGTTTTCCTCACAGAGACAGGATATGACGGAGACTTCCTCGTTTTGTTCTATCCATCTTGGGTTTTATAGCAAAGGGCTGAGCCAACAGCATATGTCCTAAGGTGGAAGATAGGTGAATAATTTTGTCACAAATAAGCTGTCTCCCTGAACTTAGCTGCCAGCCCACTTCACAACAATCATCCCCATTGCAGGAAAAGTGAGATCACCAGGACTCATCTGCCACTTGGAATCTTTGCTGCTACCTGAAAGGTATGTGGCTTGTTCTCAACACCTATCTTAACCTCCACCTTTCAGAAATGAAAAGCAGAAAATGATGGTGGAAGGCTCTGGGGAGACCATACCTGGGTGGTGTCATCTTAACAACTGAGCCTGGTGGCCAGATGGGGTGTTTCAAGTGTGGCTGAGGGCAGATACTCATTCAGGCTAGCTCCACTGGGAAGGCGGAATTCGGATGTGTTCCACTTTTCCCTCACATGAAAAGGATTCATCCTTTGGAGGCTCGCCTTCTGAGGTGATTCATCTCCCTTAGAGACTAAGAAGGTCTCTTATGAGCCTATCGAAACCAAACCATGAGGACAGTTTCCTTATGTGTCACTCATACTTGCTAATATTAGTAATCACAATACTTGTGGTGTAGGTAAGAGTAATAACTGGTAACTGCTGGAGGTCAAAGCACTGCAGCGGGTGCTGGAACAGGGGGAGGATGGGAAGGTAGAAAAACCCCATCTACCTCTTTGGACCTATGATTTAGGACAAAGGATAGGAGAATGCAAAAACACCAATTACACAGTTTGTAAAAATAGCAATGCAAAATATAATAATTTTAAAGAAAGATTCAAAAGCCAAGGGACTGGAAGTCAAGAGAACATGGGGTTGTTTTAGGAATTAGAGATGCAACAGGAAAGAATAGGAACAAGACAGGTGGGCAACAGGGAGAGCATGAGGGAAAGGAATGAAGAAAGAGAAAGAGGGACCATGAGAAATTGTCTTTCTGTGGGTGGAGATTGGCAGCATTTCAGTGTGTACAAGTTTATTCTGATCTGACTTCAGAAGTGAATGGCTCCAGGGCTCCTAGGACAGCAGGTGTAATGTGATTCCACCAGCACAGCTTTTAAACTAGAGAGTGAGGTAGGAAATAGCAGACTTCAGGCAGCAAGTGGGGAGGAAGGTGCTATTTAGGATATGAAGTGGCTGTCAGCCCCTCTGGAGCCACTGACTCTTCCCTTCAGGAAATTGCCTGACCATTGACCTTCAATTAAAAGCTTTCCAGGCAATGTCCTTGAGTGTGGAACAAAGAGACTAAGCATGTGTGCCTCCAGTTTGAGAAAGTGCTATTGACAAGGTCTTAGGAACACTATGGTTTAAATTGTTTTGTCTGTGAGATTTTAAAATTTGTTTTCCCTGGTGCTTGGTGAGTGGGTTTGTTGGTTGTGTGTCTGGATGACTTGTGACCCAGCCTCTTCTTTAGTGCATCTGTGAGGTGGTTGGTCAGGGTGAGCACTGGAGTTGAGGTCAGGTGGTTACTAACAACATCATGGTTATAGAATTGACCAGGGCTGGGTGTACACAGCCCTAACACACACAGAGGTGGCACGGGATCTGTATGGAAGAAGTACAGACAAAGACTCTGAAGCCAACAGCTTAGGTGGGAATCTCACTCTATAACCCACTGGTTGTGTATGCAAGAACAAGTCCCTTAGCTCCCTGTACCTCAGTTTCCTTATCCACAATTCACACTCATTAACAATAGTAGTAATAATACTTATGGCATAGTAAGTACTTGGTAGAGAGGAGTGCTAAATTTGTGTTAATATTTATTACTGTGGGTGTGTGTGTGTGTATGTGTGTGTGTATATATGTGTGTGTGTTTACAACCTCCTTTCCTCTAGCTTTAGTGATGGAAATCACATGGGTGTATAACAGAGAAGTAACTGTGAACCTCTAGCAAGTCGATATGCTGGAACACACTGCCCCAATTACTTGCCCTCTGGGAGATAGCAGCCTCCTGGTCTGGGATTAGAGCAAATGCTCAATTTTTGAGGCTACCTGACCCCCCAGACCCGGGGCATGTCTAATGCCCTATCACCCCCTATGGGAGAAGTCATCTTACCACCTAATACAAGCCTTGACTAATTCCTCAGAATGGGGCCTATCCAAATGGATCCATAAACCATCTGAGCCCCTCTTGTTTTGGAAGGCATTAGCTAGATGCTGATATGCTCTTGTGGCTCTGCCCTAGCAGGGATCTCATCTATGTCTAGCGTCTAGAAGAAAAGAACAAGGCACAAAAGGGAAGAAAAAGAAATAACAAGGAACATCAGAAAATGTGGCTTGGGCTTGGGTTCCTTCACTGTGGGTTAGGCCTGGCACAGACACACACATTCCTGCTATCAGCCACAAAGGGCCAGAGGTCAGATTGTTCTGCCAGAGCCTTGACCCCTGACCAAGCTGGTTATTTTGTGAATAATGATTCCAATAACTTCCAGCCATCTAAAACGCCAGGCTCCCTCCAGAAAGGTCTCAGACTTCCCCCATCTGAGGAATCCATCTCAGGCATGTCTGGATCCCAACATGTTCCTTTGCTTTCACCATGCCCCACCTCTGAATTTGAGCTCAGTGCTTCCATTACCTCAAATACTCATCTCTCAGACCTCTGAGACTATATTCTCACACTATATTCTTGTCAATCTGGGTCCTTCCCAGCCCATGGGACACTCAGACAGAAATCCATCCTTCGTTTCCCTCTGATAGATGTTCTGTTGCATGACCCAACAGCTTTTATATTTCTTCATTGGCACCTTACCAATGATACTGCTGACAGTGTAACTGGGTCTCTGTGGCTGTAGGACACCAGGGGGTCTGCAGAAGGATAACCACGCAGTAGGGATGATGGCGGAGAAAGCAAAAGAGGAACTGAAGGGTGCTGGAGGGCAGGAACCCACTGCAGACCTTCTTCCTTGGGTGTGTAGGAGGTGTTGCTGTGATAGAGTGAAAGGAGAGAGAGGCAGTGCTGGAAGAAGATGAAGAACAGATGTTTGGAAGGTGAAGGAAGAAGGAGGTGCTGAATTTATTTACAGAGTATTTTGCCAACCTTCAGAAGGCTTAACAACCCTCTGCGTTGGCACTGGTTTCTTCCATTGTTCAAGCAAAGAGATTAAGGTTTATCTAGTTAAAAGTGTGCCTTAAATCCTACAACTAACTGCAGGGGAAATATGAATTCAAAGATGCATTGATTACACCAGAATCGTTGACTGCTAGACTGTGAGATATTACCACAGGACCCAAGGGGCATTAGAGTTATAAGGATGGCATTTGTTGGGGTTGGGATTGGGTCCCCTTGGCCAGAGGTGGAAGAAGGGATGGTTAGATGGGATGACTCCATGACTGGGGCCTCAAAGATGCTGTAAACACAGAACAGTGATCAGCAACTGACCCCTGTAATCACCACCTGAGGTCTCAGGACTGCATGAAAGTGTCCCAGGATGCCATTGAAGTTGGCAGGCGGCCACCAGGCATACACTCCATTTCAGAAAGAACAGAACTCTGTGTTTGTTCCTCTGGTTTGTGGACCTGATGTTCCAGGGCAAAGAGAAGGAAAACCAAGTTTGGGTCATAGTGGTAAGGAAGGGAGAAAAAAATGCATCTGAGATTCTTCAGAGATTTCCCTTTGTTTGGGGAACATCACTAACTCTGGAGAAGGGTGATGCTGAGCCCCCCCACAATGTATGGCTCTATTCTTGGCTCTAAATAATACACACCTCCGAAGCTGCTTCCTCTGGGACCCTTTAGCTAAGTCCACTTGCAGCAATGTGAGTTTGAACAAGGTCAATGACAAGTGTCCTGAGGTAAAATTAGAAGCAGTTCTCATGTCTGGTCATGGTTTAAAAGAATCCAGGTACTGGCACTGGTAAGAAATTCAAAAGTCAGGAGGAAATAATTGAGGCAACAATCGATCTCAGGCCTGATGGGCTGAGTCCAGCTGCCTGCCCGATGTTAAACCAGCATTGCTTTATCCCTCTCTAGGTGGCTCTCTCTGCTGATGACAGATGGCAGATTTCCCAGTATCCCTGGAATTTTTGAAGCCAGGACTTCTTCCCAGAAGTCTCTTCTTCCTTACCTACCTTCTCCTCTTCCTTCAGCCTGAGGAAGCCATCTCAGGTAGCGTGTCTGATCTGCAATCATATGCAATCCTGCCAAGCAGGATGTGAGTGTCTCAACTCTGCCCACATCCTCCGCCAGCTGCTAAAATACATAATGATTTCCATCCCAGTTGTTAAAGAGCCACTGCCCCTGAGCACCATCCAGCACCTTTGTGCTCTTCCACCATTTTGCTAGTCCTCAGCATCCCTTGTACACTTCTCAGGAGCCTTCCTGGTAGGAACAGCAGGAAGAATGACAAAAGGGTACTAGGAAACTCTTTTTTGATCTGTATTTGTGCTGATGCAATTGGAAAAATATTTTTAATTCAATCTTCATAGCTTTTGAAGAGCAGGAGAGACTTCTCAGCATAGGTCTATCACAAAAGAAGCAACCAAAAGAGGCTGTAAATTAATTGTGCAAATGGATTAACTAATGTCTTAGACTGGGAACCAGCGATATCAGGGTGACTGAGGCATAGCCCAGATCCTTAAGCAGCTCTTTGTCAAAGGAAGGAATGGATGTGACATGAACAGCTGCAAGAAAACCATATCCAAAGATTTGAGAGCAGAAGCGAAGCATAAATAAGAGCAATTCTCCCTCCCTGGAAAGCCAAGCACAGGAATAGGGAAGGGGTGCTGTTTGTGCTGAATGTGCAACCTTGTGAGATGCACATTCTCCAGGAAGTTGACAGATCAAGGGAAAACTGAGGCAGGGTGTAGCCAGGGAGTCAGAAATCAGGTGTGTGGGAGAGACAGCTGAGGGTACCCTGGAAAAGGAAGAGGGTAGGAAGTTGTTGGGGATACAACCAGTGGAAAACCATGTGTCCCAAATGGCACAAAGAAAGATACCTATGATCTATGGGCAAAGTGAAAGATGACAAAGGATCTACCAGGGTTGAGTTCTAGGAACAGATTTTGGCTGAACTTAGAAAGAAGGAAACAGGACTAAAAGCAAAAAGGACTGGTTTGGGAGAGCAGAGAGACCACATGGAGACACCGTGGAAGAAGGGAATGATTAAATGAAAGATCAACAAGTCTCAACAGCAGAAGGATCAGGAAACCCTTAAAGATTATTTATATATTTTTATTTTTATGGAAACTGTACATGTGTATTATTTTTTGAAAAAATAATTGGTAAATCTGACAAACAAAAATAGGAAATATCCACTCCCATGTGTTGGTGTCCCTCTTTCCATGTCTTTTCTCTGCACACTTAGGCAAATATGCAAATTTTTCTCAAGGTCCTGTGTGCATATTGTTTTTATAATTGCTTTTTTTGGACAAATACTGCATTTCATTTCTGTCACAGCCACATTCACTCAGTCCCCCAAAGAACATTTGCACCCAGTTGGGTCAAACCAATGACCAACCCAGCACTACACATTGTGTCTGACTGTAATGTTCCACGTTTTAACCTGTACTCACACTTTTGTCACGGCAGTTACTTCTTCAAGAAACCAGGTTGATTGTCTTCATAGACGCTTTCCTTTTGTCATTTGAATATTTTACTGTGGATGTCTGACTTGGAAAGATAAATATATATTTGAAGAGAGTTGATTTTGCCCCTTGTTCTTGCTTGTCTTCCTAGAGGAGGTAAAAGTAATAGGCCCTGGGGAGTCCATTTTGGCCCTCTTCGGAGAAGAAGTGGAGTTCCCGTGCCACCTGTCACCATACCAGGATGCTAAAAACATGGAGATCCGCTGGTTCCGCAGCCATGCCTCAGACGTGGTGCATCTCTACCAGGAGCGGCAGGAGCTCTTCGCCCAGCAGATGGCGCGGTTCCAGAACAGGACCAAACTCATCACGGACGAGATAGCAGATGGCAGCGTGAGCTTGCACCTCCGCCGCGTGGTTCCCTCCGACGAGGGCCCCTACGGGTGCCGCTTTCTGTCTGGCGACTTCTCGGGTGAAGCCATCTGGGAGCTGGAGGTAGCAGGTGCGTGCCCTGGCCAAGCACCAGCAGAGGACAAGGAGAAAAGGGTTAGTTTGGACAGAGATGCTTTGCTCAAGTAGGACTAGAATCATGGAGAATATCCCTAATTTGAAGGAAGAAAAAAAAGCACTATTAAAAAGGGAGCGATAGGTCCATTTTCAAATGAAAAAAAAAAACAAATACTTCACAAAAATACACAAGGACCCTTTATGAAAAGATGACCATTTTTACCCATAGTGACAGAAAGACAAACTAAAGCTACATAAAGACGCATAATTTTTGCCTAAAACTGGCAAGAAGGCAACAACAACAAAAAAGGCTGGAGGCACGGAGTGGCAAGTCTGCCACTATCTTGTTGGTAAAGCTCAAAGTCCAGGGCAGGGATATTTGGCGATAGCTAACAGGATTGCCTGTGCGTCTATTCCTGGACACAGCAATTCCCCTCCAGGAATTCACCCTGAACAGATACCTCCAATATAAGAAAGGCTTTTGTGTAAATTAATCTTTGTAGCATTATTGTAATTGTAAATAACCACACATAGGAGCTGAGTGTGGTTCATACACACATGGAACAGTCCATACTCTGCAGCTAGAAAAATGAGACGGAACCCAATGAGCAAATGATTCCTAAGATGCATTATTAAGATTTTAAAAAAATCAAGATGAGAAAGAGGTTTGATGGTATGTTTTTGTGTATAAGAAAGAAGGAACATTGTAAAAAGAGGATAAACCAGAAACTAATGAAACCGGCTGCCTAAGGTGTGTGAATAAAAAGGACGAAGAAAGGCTCAAAACTTTCTTAATATGCATTATGTAGAGAATTAACAGTTAAACCATGTTAATAATCTTTTGCGAATTCAAAATATATGGCTTGGAGTGTAGCTCAGTCGTAGACTACATGCCTAGCATTCACGAGGCCATAGGTTCAATCCCCAGCACTGCAAAAAATAGATAGATAGCTAGATAGATACATAGATAGATAGATAGATAGAATGGGGAGACAAAGGAGTATATATACCAGGCATTTGAACTCTACTGAGAATCAAGAGAAGACAATTTAATGGAATCTGAGGTGGGTAATTCTTCATTCTAGGGAGCTACCCCTTGTATATTTCCCTTGCATAATATGTATAGCCCTTCCATGTTTCCAAACAACCCTCAGGGATAGTACTGCCCTGAATACCAGTGCTAATCTAAGTTGTTATTTACTATCCATGGTTGGGGACTTCTAACCCACACATGAAGAGCAGTCACAGTTCCCAATACAGTGACCTCAAATGGCTCAGATGGTGAATGGTGCCATGGATTTCTGGCATACCTTCAGGGAAGTAGCCTGATCTTTCTCACTCCTCCCGCCTCTCCCAGGATTTGGCTCAGACCCTTATATCTCCCTTGAGGGCTTCAAGGAAGGAGGCATTCAGCTGAGATGCAGCTCTAGTGGCTGGTACCCCAAGCCTACCATCCAGTGGAGAGACCACCAGGGTCAGTGCCTGCCTCCAGAATCTGAAGCAATCATCCAGAATGCCCAAGGCCTGTTCAGTCTTGAAACATCTGTGGTTGTCCGAAAGGGAGCCCATAGCAATGTGTCCTGTTCCATCCAGAACTCCTTGCTGGTCCAGAAGAAAGAGTTTGTGGTGCAGATAGCAGGTCAGTAGGCCTGGTTCACCATTATTATCCTAGTTTTCACATTCTCCTTGTCCCATTTGGCCCAAAGGTGGTCAGTAAGGACACAATAATTCTGAGTCCCAACCTGGTGGGGCAAGTTGGGCTTGACATCTGAAAAGTCATCAAATCAGATATCAGACGCTCACTAAGAATGCAGCTGACTACCCAAACAATAGATGGGCAAGACCCTAGGGAGACAAAAATACCATGCCAAAGGCCATACACTAAAACCCATAAACTCTACATTAGAGATCGTCATGAGAACCCATGTGTCCCTAATTTCATCCCTCAAACAATTACAAATAGAGCACTCACAATGTACCCCAAAACTCTACCCTCAGATTCTCCTCAGAGTGGGCAAAATAGACAACAATACAATGAGTAAACCACATCATACCCTGGAAGGCAGAAGTAGATGAAGAGAAAAACAAAGCAGAGAAGGGTGCCTGAGAGCAACAGGATATGTCTATGAATTATAAAAGGGTTACTGGGGGAAGTAGCTGTTTAGGCAAAGTTGAAGTTTAGGCTATTATTTAGCATCAAAATCTTATTAGGAGGCACCCAATGGACAGCCTTAATGTTCATAGCTCTAAGTTGTTTTAAGAGTTGAATAAAATCAACCTATGGGCCATTTCACATCGTCTAAATCAATTATTGCATTATTAGACCAGAAAGAAATCTCTCCCTTTGGGTCAGGCATATCGAACCCACTGAGCATACATGGTCTCAAGATAAACAATAATTTGTCCTCATATTGGAGGACCTGGCAGCATCATTCATCACACACAGTTCATTCTATGGCCATCTGTGCTAGCTGTCTTTATCCAAAGGCAAAATTAAACATCTCATATCTCTATGTCAAACATATAGTAACAACTTGAAGCCAGGCAGAGATGAGTGTTTTGTTCTTAATGTTTGTATGTCAAAGAGATATCCCTAAAAAAACTGGGTTGAAAACTGGCAAGAGGCTTGTTTAGGTGTCAAAATAATTTACCTATAGTCAAAGGAATAGAGAAAGAATTTATAAGTTCCCTAAAGGAAATGCTCTGAGAAAGGAGAAGGAAGGAATATCTCTGTTTGTATAAGGAAAATCCAGTTTTTGTTTCTTTTTAGATCTGTGCATAATCTAAA